GTTCGATATTAGCATACCATTGTTCTGTTTTTGAGATTTCGATGCAAATGCTATGTGCCTTCCATCCTGCAGAAGAGCTGCACCCAAACCTCGAATGGATGCATCAACCTGGATTACAGTTCATTTATCTGGATCAAAATAAGTCAGTAGCATCTCTTTGCAAATCAGGTTTTTGATTTGTTAAAGAGACTTTTGGTGACTTTTAGTCCACCTGTATTCTGTTTCTTTTTTTAGTAGATCTCTCATAGGTGATGTGAGATCAGAGAGACATGCAAAAAGGTGCAATATAGGTGATGAGCCCTTGGATCTGTGCTATCTTCATTAAACTGTGCAGATTCGAAGTTCAATTTCCTTTTGGTTTTACCATATACTACATCATCATCGATTAAACCTAGTGTCCCAGGGCATTTCTCCAGTATCATGTTTTTTTTTTGCTGGAATACATCTTGGGATATTACCAGGCCAAAAGGCATTCTCTGGAAGCAATATCTTCCAAAGGGGGAGTTGAAAGTGGTCAGTAGCTGTGATTCAGAATCCACTGTGATTGACCAGTATCAATTTTTGGCATCCAGTTTGTAAAAGTACTTGGCACCAGAGAGTTTGTCGCCATCTTATGGTGACATTGCATGATAGCCCTGTTTAGATTTTTTAAATCTAAGCAAAGACGAAGATTGCTATTGCCTTTGCGGACTTACATTACGCTGTTAGCCCATTCTGTAGGCTCATTTACCCTGCGACTGATACCCTGTTTCACCATATCATCTAACTCAGTCTTGACCTCATCTCTCATTTCTTACATGTATGGCTTACAGGGTGGTTGTCTGGTTGTAGGACAATGTGGTATTCAACCATGAACTTGCCTGTACAGTCAAACTGATCTGGGTACAGATCTTTTATGGAGTTGATCTGAGCTGGAGCTATTTGAATGATACAGTGCAGTGTTACCAGCCCCAGGTCTCCAAGTGAAGGTAGTCCTAGTATAATAGGTTCATCTGAGGTCACCACAAAGAATTTCAGTGTTTTCCACTTCCCTTTGTAGACACATTGTATTTTAATGGACACATATTGAGTGATGCTCGAGCCATTATATGTAGTTAGTACAGCTGACTCATTACATGTTGCACCAGGGAGTGACTGTCCAGAAGGGCAGATTTTTTTCAGGAAACATCTTATGGAACATATGTAAAGGGGGGGGGGTATTTCCTTCAGCTCTTGTGTGAACTTTGGCCTTTAGTTTATGGGTGCTTGGTTAAAAAAAAAAAAATACAATAAAGATCTGTAAAAGCCTCAGTCCAAGTGTCTTGTTTGTTATATCAATGAATCATATCAAAAGGCATTTGCTCAAAATGTTCATATATCTCCTCAGTGTCATCCTGGCAGGCATTTATTGAGTAGACACAGTTAATGCATTTCCTATCCTGATGATGCCTGTATTGGTGATTTCCCTGTATTATCCAGGACCCTGGTTTAAATTTTTGACATTTTTTGTTATCTGCGTCTTTCTGTGTTCTCTTTTTTGTTGTTACATACTTTTGCCCAGTGATTTTTCTGTCCATATACTGAACATGTAGTACCCCAAGTGGGATATTTAACTTTTTGGTGGGAGCAAATGCTACTGAATCACTTGCAGAGACTGCATCCAATTGCATTGATTCCCTGGCTTTTTCCTTTTTGGTTTTCAGTGAGTTCCTTCATATAATCAAGAGAAGCCTTGTGGATTCTATAGATACTCAGGGCTTCTTGAAGTATAAGCCTTTCGCCTTTCACTAAAAGGTCTTTCTGCAAGTCCAAGTGCCTCATTCTGGTAATAATCTGCTCTATTAACTGTTCTTCAGTTTCCTGGGCATTCCAGAAATTGCATTTTTTTTGCTTGTAACCTGCACTTAGCTATAAAATAATCAATGTTTTCCATAACACTTTGCGTGTATTGTCGTAAGTAAAATCATGCCATACAGAAGTTTACTTGGGATCTAATCACACCTCAAATTTCTGCTAAATAACTTCTGGGTTATTTTTGTCAACTTTGTTATTGAAAATCCACAAGTTGAACCATCTCAGACCTTCTCCAGCTAGCAAAAGAATGTGGTCAACCTGTTTGTCAGTTGGTATGTTTCTGACAAAAAGTAGAGGTTGCAACACTGTTTAAAAAATTTGAACCAAGTTTGTGGACATCTAGTGCACATAACCAGCTTGCATGTGTTTGCAGCCATTGCAACTAACACTGTTGTGAAGCACGGAGACAATAAATATGTACTACTGTAAAGCACTTACTTGTACAGCCGTGATTTTGTTTCACTAAAGAGTGTTTGAGCAGCAGCTCCTTTTTCTTTTCTCTTGTGTACTAATTATTATTTTATTTTATTTTTTTTAAATAAAAAAGGAAAATGGTAGCATCCATTAAGTCTTCATGTTCTACTGCTGCTTGTAGTAGTTCTCATTATTCCTGCCAAAAGGGGCCTGAAGTCTGTTCAACTTGAAGTATTTCTTTTTTTTTTTCTAGCCTTGTAGACCCTGTGACTACATCCATTACCGCTACCACCATGTAGTATTTTTATGAGGATTGAAGACACATAACACACATCTTAGGGTCTAGCCAGATGCTGCTTGTTTTATTCTCCATATACTTTTCTTCCTCCACCCTGATCCGCTTTTGACCTTCCTTTATTCATGAGCTAGGCTAGGGGAGATAATTGGAATCATAATATTATAGGTACCATTAAGACGGATGCATTTTTTCTGAAATGAAAACAAAAATTTGTGCTACCTCCTATTTTTAAAGATTTGCAAAATTTCAGGGGATTATCCAATTTAAACAAAATTTGCAGTACTTATTCATTAATAAATTAATTATGTACTGAATAGGTCATTTTATTAGAAAACTCTGTGGAAATATTTTTAGGGGTCATTTTCACCCCCTTTTCAATATCTTGTGTGTACTTTTTAATTTGGGAGGTATTAGCAATTTTTTTTTTTTACAGTTATATAAAGAAAAATCCCTGAAGATGAAGAATTTAAATTATTTCAAATGCATTTTTCATTTTTTTTTCTTCTTGGTAAGTCTATGGTGGTACCTAGTAATGATAACGGTACTATTAGCTGTTTCCTTATATGGAAATAATAGGTATTCATTTACTGAATAATTGAAATTTATGAAATCTTTCTGCTAAACAATGTTTCAGGAAAATCATTCGCTTAAGTCCACTGTTATTGCTCTTTCCAGTATTGATGGGTGTGGAGCTTTCTTCTTAAACTTTGTTTAAAGTATTGTGGAACATTAACATCTTGATTATGTCATTATTTTCTCTGAGTTATAGGTGCTATCCATTTTAGTTATTACTGCTGTTGAAAGTCCACAAGTGATATGGTTTCTATTATTTGGCAAAGTTCCTTGTTTGCAATTCTGTAGTGCCAGTCCATGAGTTTCAAAGAATGATGGCCATGTCTAAGATCTGCAGGCTTTGTTCACATGTGAAGCCATTTTAATCATTGATCTGAAAAGGTGGTTGTATACATATGACAGTTTAGAAATTTCTGAATAAGTTTGAGTGCCATACATGATAACTATATGAAAGTCTTGATCCAACAAAGCTATTTAAGAACATGACTCAAGTTTCTAGATTAATGTTTTAGTTTTGTAGCATCTTGTGATGTTAAACAAAACCTACCCCTAGCGAAGCCTATTTTGTATTCATTTTCCTTATTTCCTATACTAAATCTGTTATTTATATACTGAGTGTTTAGTATTTATTAATTCTACATACTGAATTTTTATGATGGATTCAAAGTACATGCCATCACTGCATTCATTCCAATTTCAGATCATAGTTTTTCTATTTTGGAAAGGTTTATCGTGAGTCCTATTTTTTGACATACTTGGTAGAGGATGTTGATTTTTTTTTTTTTTTCAATATCATTCTTATCCCAAGTATGAATACCTATGTCACTAGCACATCCCACATCATCATCAATATATTGGCCTTGGGGGTTAAAACAGGGAAACTATTTTCTATAAGTAGATTTGTTTGGGATGTGGTGGGGAATGCTTAAATGATCAGTGTCCATCGCTTCACATTTGTGCTTGTACATGCACAGAGTATAGTCTAAGAAAAGATTAAATAGATTGGTGTTCCCATTTCCTCTTTGTTGTATTCCTGATGAGGTTTTAAATGATTCAGTATTAGCATTTTCATCAGACATATACAACTTTGTGAAGTGATAGTTTTTCTATTAGATGTATAAATTCAGTGTGGCCAGAACTTGGATTCTAGTTTCTAATGGATGAGAAGAGGAAATCTCTATTGATGTGATAATATGCTACTGTGATGTTAAAATTTAGCAGGTGTACAGCTTTCTATTGGAGAGGTATGCAATTTCCTTGAGTTGTTTGATGATTTACATGGTACATGTCATTATTACATACCTTACCATTATTACATACCTTACCAGCCAAGCCACAATGGATTATTAGGAGTTGAATTTCATAGAATGGTGAGAGTTGAAATCAAAAAATAATAGAATCTAGAAACTAGTATTGTTTCTTTAACCAGAAATAACCAATAGTTTATGTATAATTTTATTTTTATCCTATAGGCTTTTATGAAAGATAGTCAAATAAATACTTTTATTTTTATACTATGAGTAAAAAAGAAATTAATTAAATTAAAAATTAGTTAAATGATACTTTTGAAGTCTTTTTAATTATTTTGATTTTAAAATTTATCAAACTAAAGGAAGTTCTACCAAAAAAAACTTATTGAATTGATACTCTTAACTGATTGCTTTCACAGAATTCTTTCCTTTTGAACTTCCATAAAATAATAATCTAACAATTTGTAAAAATGAAAAATAAAAATTCTTTTAAAAAGATGTTCACTTTAATAAAATTTACCAACAAAATTTGATAAATTTGGAAGTAATTTTCAATAATTCTGAAATAAATTTTATTTAACCATTCTTTTAAATGAAGTACATTTTTCTTTTTCCTTTTTTTTTTTTTTTAGTGGTTACCATTGAAAAATATTGGTATATTGTTGGTGATTATGTAGAGATTTATTGCCAGACAACAGATGGAGTCTATAATGATCTCTACTTCAGTGAGTTGGCATCAGGTATTCCTTTGAACAGTGAAAATTATTCTGTTAAAACCGTAAATGAAGACACTATTCAACTTCAGTTGTATAATGTTACTGCTGGCAAATATAATTTTATTTGTCAGAATAACAAGAGTGAAAAAACACTCTTGAATATTGGTGTTGCCTCTTTTGAAGTTGGATGTAAGTAAAAATGTTTCCTTATTTTAAAAAGTTCTAACATTTGTAATTTTAATGATAAAAAGAAATTTTTAATTTAGACTAAAGCATTTTTTCTGATCATTCAAATAACTTAATGATGTGAAAATTGCATCCTAAAATAAGCTTTGAATCTTTTTAACTTACATCCTTTTATTTTTCAAATATGAAAATTTATCCAGTCTAAAACTACTTTAAATATCTAAAAGAAGTGTGTGTGCATGTGTGTAAAGTTTTGTAATTTTTATATTTTGCTATTCAATTACCTACTATTAGTCGGATATTCTTCCATATATAGCAGCCCACAAAAGGGTTGCTGTTTATATCAGTAAAATCTTAATATAAAGAATATACAGGAAAATATTGACATGAAAAATTGAGTTACAACAAATTTTAATAAAATGGCCAAAGTTTTATTATTGGCAAACAACTAACAACTTAATTACAAATTTGTACATTTGTTGATTTGTAAGAACTGAAAGGAGTCACCAAGGTGTGAAATATTAAAAACTCATAAAAATGTTTCAAAGTGTAAGTATGTAGATATATAAGTATGTAGATATATAAGTGTGATTAAATTTGTAGTCCAGAAAAAGGTAACCACATGCAAGTGGTAAGTCTTTGGAAATGTTTGTGTCTTATGTTCTTGATGAAAGTAAAGTTAAACTCAAATGAAATCACCTGAATGAAGTGATTTGGGACTTGTAAGAAAAATCCCAAAATGGCAGCGTGCTGAAATGAAGAAGATACCACACATGGCATGCTGTTATCTAAATCCAGAAAATTTGGTGGGAAACCAAATCAAGGTGCCGTGTTGTTAAGTTGAATTCAGTATGGCGATGTACTGATGAAATAGGACACCAAAATATGGTGTGGTTGCTAAGTAATCAATCACGAGAGCATAAGCCATCATGATGGTGTTTCTGTGAACAAAATGTTAAGAGAATTAACATGCAAAAACAATGAATAATTAACAAAGCAACAAGAATTCAGACAAAGTAGAGGACTGGATTGCGCAACAGAAATGACCGTCAAATCCGGGATGATGGCAAAGAAAAGAAAGGAAAGAAAGGAAAAGCAGATTCACTGCATCTTATTGAGAGAGAGAGGGTAATCAAAGAGAAGGAAAGGCAATGTCTGAGTCTTTCCAAGAAGGAAGAGGTGAAAAGAGGAAAAGAAAGCAAGTATGGACAAAAGGAAACAGGAAGGAGGACATCATCACCGAAAGGTGGAAGTCGCTTATACTTCAGGCAACTCTTCCAGGCAGGGAGGCAATCATGCTGTGATGACAGGATCAGCAACATACCCCTGGTGTTGGGGAAGAGAGTCTACAGAGGTCCAAAAAGGCTTTGTATACATATATAAGATTGTCATGGCAATGTAACTTGACTTGTCTTTCCTATTTCTTTGTCTAAGAAATTAAGTAGACATTTAGAAAACTTCTTTAAGCAAAGGTTACAACTAGTATTCTGAAACTGTTCATAGAGTTTTTATTTATCATATATATATCATTTTTTTTGAGACATTAAAAGTTTTGTTAAAATTGAGAAACACTGGTTGCTGAACTGGTGGATACAACACACACATGCACACACACACACATATATATATATATATATATATATATATATATATATATATATATATATATATATATATTTACTTTTTTTTTAGATCCTCCTGAAATAAAGAATATCTTATTTGAAATTATTGATTTCAAAGAGCTCAATGTATATATGAGCCCAAGAATTAAAGACATCAATGAATATTGGAAAACTACATGGAAATTTAGGTAATTTTGTGTTGATCATTAAATTCTATTTAATATTTATCTGTTAATTTTTATTGACAACTGATATTCTTCATTATCTTGTGCCTCTCCTCTTCTCTCACATTTTGTCCATATCTTCTCATTCTCCCCCTTTTATAGAGAAGGAGAATACCTATTGAAACAGAAGATGTGGAAATATAATCAGGTGGCGATTTATTAATTTAATTCACAAAACGACATATATTAAATGAAATATTCAGCAAAAACTCATTAAATTTGAGTTAGAGATATACAGAGAACATGATACAGTTAAAAAACAAAGATAGTTAAAAAATGTTTTGTAACACTAGTATTAATACTTCCCACTCTTGTAATTGTAGGCAAAAATACAATTGTCTGGAGGTGGGTGTCTACAGAAAAATGAAATATATTAAGGTAAATGGTGAACATGACATGATCTACTTTGAAGCAACCAAATATCTTTGGAAATGTTGGGGGGGGGGGGGGTAAATATTTAACGGGTTCATACCTTGAGGAACTCCCAAACAGAAAATAAGGAGGTACTAAGTAACAAGGATGCCAAATACTTTTACCACATTTATTAATGAATCACAAAATAAAACAAAAGATACAACAAACAATAAGTTATTACTCACAAGATGTCTGTACATCTCAGCAGTGGAGTAGGGTGTGCAGTTAAGTGGGTAAAGTTCACCTTTTTATATTGCCTCAAGACTTCTCAATATCGTGTCTAGTTCTAGTAACTGCCAAACTCTCCCTGCCTCTAGGAAAGTCCAAGATGCACGGTGGGGAGTGTCATGTAACCATTTGGAACGGGAATTTATGAGCTCCCAAAATAGATCTCATAGGGCGGTGTATCCCTACAGAAAGAAAGGCTTGACAACCATAAAACCTCTTTCAGTGATATACAATACAAAAACATCACAATGCTGTCCAAATAGATATGGGAACAGAATGATAAATCAGGTAAATCAGCTGTTGTCAAGTGGAAGATTATAAAGAAGGCACAAGCTGGAAAGGCAATATCTTGCATATTATACTTTCAGATTATAACATTCCTAGAGCGGGAACACCTCAATAAAATATTAGAATTCATGAGCAAATGTAGACATAAGAACAAGTTATTTTTGAGTCATTTAGCTCTTGACTTAGAAAGAAGAGAAAAAATATCCACAAAATGTATATGTGGAAATTTTAATTTTTTTTATTTAATTCAATGAATTAACTAAACAGTATGTGTGTGTTTCAGGGGTGGTGGCTGTTTCAATCTACTCTTCATATGATGAAGGATGTTCTTCGTCACCACTCATGAGTATAAATATGAGAGAAAAATGGAACAGAATTAATCTTAAGAAACTGTTTGTAGGATATTGAACACTATATTAAAAAAGCATCAAAAGATGACCTGCATTTAATTGGAAATACATTTACAAGTACATATTACTTCAAACCTTATTTTTAGTGAATAGAAAATCTTGGTAAAATATTTTTTTATTTACTTATTTAATTTTAGGAAGTTTCAAGAAATTAAATTTTGACCCCCTTAATATTTATATAGTTAAAAGCAGGACTCCTTGAAGAATTTAAATCATCAATTTGTTTTTATCAAACAGAAACATCATTTACTAAAATTCTAACCAAGAATTTCAAGACATGGCTCAAAATCTAAACATGGTTTTAAGAACAACTGCTGCTCAGTCTCCCTGGAGTAATGGGTTATGTGAGCATCATAATGCTGTTCTAGGAGATATGGTAATTAAGACATTGGCTAATGTTAAGTGTAATTTTGAGGTGTGGCTCTTGGGTGGGCCATTAGTGCAAATAATGCATTGCTCAATGTGAATGGATACAGTCCAAATCAATTGGTGTTAGGTGGGAATCCAAACATTCCTACACTACTAAATAAAAGACCACTCGCTCTGGAAGTGATATCCACAAGTGAGCTAGATGCCAACAATCTAAATGCAATGCATGCTGCTAGAAGATCATTTGTTGAAAGTGAGTCTTTTGAAAAAATAAGAAGAACCCTGTGACATCAAATACAATCAGCATTTCCACAGAAATATAACAATGGTGATCTAGTATATTTCAAGAGAAATGAATCAGAAAAATGGATGGGTTCAGGAACACTTATTGGATAGGAGGCTAAGCAGGTCCTAGTAAAACATGGAGGAACATATGTAAGAGTAGATCCCTGTTGGCTGATGCACCACTCCAATCAGATCATCAAACAGCCAATAGTTAACAGTGATTCTGAAACTCTTGGAAATCCAGAGGTGGTACATGGAAATCTTACAAACAGTCCAATTCAAGATGACATAGAGGAAGAATATCTAATGACAGAAGAGTCTGTTAACAATGTAGATATTAGTCCTCTGACAAATGAAGCATTACCAGAAAAAGTCATGACACCAGTAAAACAGGTGAATCTACCTAAACCAGGGCAAGTAGTGAATTGCAAAATGACCGACCAGACTGAACTGGATAACCTGAGAATAATCAGGAGAGCTGGAAAAGCCACTGGTTCCAATAAATATTTCATGAATGTCATTCAAGAGGGCAATAAACCCTTTTGCCTTGATTTTGAAAATGCTGTTACTTCTTGGACACCTGTCCCAGAAGTGGATTCAACAGATCTAGCAGAGACTCTTATATTATCTACATCTGATCCTTGTGTTGAGCAGGCAAAACAGAAGGAATTATCTTATTGGCTAAAGAATAAAGTCTCTAAAGTTGTTCCTGACATGGGGCAGAGAAGAGTCAACACACGATGGATGTGCACAAAAAAAGCTGCACAAGGCAATAATTCTGTTATGTCCAGGCTTGTTGCTAGAGGATTTCAGGACAGAGATGCAGGATCCTTTAGATCTAACTCTCCCACATGCTCCAAGGAAGGATTTGGGATTGCTTTGGCTGTGATAACCTCAAAAGGTTGGTCTTGCAATTCTCTAAACATAAAGACTGCTTTTCTCCAAGGCATGAAAACGAATAGACCTGTTTATTTGTTGCCACCACCTGAAGCTGTCAATGATAGAAGTAAACTTTGGAAGCTTACCAAGTGTTTTTATGATTTGACCGATGCCTCAAGGTCCTGGTACCTTACAGTAAAAAATGCACTGCTGGAACTTGGAGCTGAGATATGACCAAGCTACAGTGGGCTATGATAAGTTTTTAGCTACCCTTGTTTACAGCAATTTTGGCTTATGTAATAACATCTCTTCTTTTTTTTTTCAGACAATACAGTGTTAGTATCAAGCTACTCTCATCTATGAACAATAGTCGACTTATATTTTGCAATGAAAGTTTGTGGAAGGAAATTGGTGAATTTCAACGAGGGCAAATAATAGGATGGCATCAGTGTGGTATGTCAAATAGAGAAATTGCTAGGTTTTTCCAGGTTAATCATCAAACGCTTAATAATATTGTCAAAAAATTTAATGAAGAAGGCCATTGTTCTGTGGAACAATGGTCAGGAAGACCAAACATTGTGTCTGAGCAAAGGAAAAGGGCGCTGAAGAGGGAAGTCATCAGAAACCATCTTCAGAGTGTCAAAGACATCACCAACAGCATGGATATGTCATCATATGTGGTGAGAAAGACTCTGAAAGCGCTAGGCTATCAATGAAGAGTTGCAAGAAAGAAGCCCTTTATTTCAGAGGTTAACAGGAACAGGAGTATGGACTAGGCAAGAGAATTCGAGAGCAAATATTATGAATTTTGACAGCCTGTAATTTGGACAGATGAAAGTAAATTCTGCCAATATTCAAATTCAAGACAGGTTTATGTTTGGAGAAATCAGAATGAGACTTGGAACATTGAATGTCTGCAGATGACCGTGAAACATGGAGGGATTGGTGTCTGGTTTGGAGGGAAATCTGAGCTGATTCTTGTTGATGAGCAGTTGAATGGTCTAAAATATTGTCAAAGGCCTGGAAGGAATCACAAGGAAACAAATCACTGCCATGGTAACCCAAATTCCTGACATGAATCCAATAGAGCATGTTTGGGAGCACCTTGATCAAAAACTATGAGAGTCTGCAACCAAAATTACATCAGTAGCAACTCTTAAAGATACATTGCCAAAGGAGTGGCAAAATATGGATCTGACAATTGTTAGTCATTGAACATCACATGAAAATCAGCACTCTCATGCCAACTATGTGCATATCCTTCCTGACAGACCTGCAAGCTACTTATTTCAGTTTTGTGATAAAATTTACAGTTCTGATACTGATGAGGAGAAAATCACTTTCAAGACTCTCCAAATGTCTTTTGTGCATCACATTGTATGCAGGGGTGAGGTTGATTTACAAAGTCAACTACAGGATCATAGCCACTTGGCTCAATGTTGAAGTGATGGCCATCTTCTGTAAAAAAAAGTGGTAGTTATCATATACATGCAAGTTTCATTAAATATTAGGGACAAAAGAATTCCTATGCAAAGAAGGAAGATTATTCCCAAATGTGTGTGTGTGGAGAAAGAGTGAGTGAAGGGATAGAGATTACAGAAAAACAGACAGGTTTGATAGCTGGTTATTAAGAGACAATGAACAAAAGAAATATATTTTCTTTTGACTTAATTTATTTCTTAATGTTGTAGATGCATATGGTTGCTTGAGAGAACAAATGAAACAAAAAAGTACCATGGTGAGGTGGAAAGAAAAGAAGACAAGAATTGTTA